CTCAAGGCCTCAAAAGTACTTTGAGAGAAACAAAATTTATTATTCTATAACTTGGTCTTTCTCCAGTTTCAAGTTTATGCAAAAACAGGCTCCCTTGCCATGTAGTTTCCTATTCCTCTGACTTTAAACAAATTTTTGAAAGAAATGTTACTTCACTGTCAGCAGAATGTACACTAAGTACAGTGCTCTTGTTAAGTCTGCATAGGAAGTGAAGTGGAAATTATAGTTTACAGTGTGAAATGGATGGGCGAGAGGCTTTTATCTTAATGTAAGCATCTCCGTAAATGTAGCTGGAATTCAATTAAGAGTATACTGATGATGCACTCTTTACAGGAAGCTTCATCTGAAATATATGGAGTTGTGAAGTTACTGGTTGCTGGAACCTAACATCATCAACTAATCTCAGGCTTAAGTCATTTGTTTATAACCAATAAACATTCTCCCTTTGTTTGTTTTAAGCTAATACTTTTTTCTTAGTCTATATATTCATTTTAATGTGCTCATTATTTCTGCAAAGACTCAAGAATTCTGCATGACTCATTCCTCCAGAATGTGACTTTAAAGAGTGAAAAAAAAAAAAAGCAGTTTTTTTAGCCAGGAAGCAATGGGTCTCCCCACTAGCACACCCTGATAGTGGACCTTACTGTCTTCATTTGAGGAGTAGCCCAGAGACCCCAGTAGAGTACAGATGCTTCCTTTAGGATCAGTCTGATCCCTTCATAGCCGCATTTCATAAAAAGTTTTTTTTGATAATTTAATAATATGATCAATGATGTAAATTCCTGTTCTAGACAGGGATGTCTCAAACAATAGAAGGAGATGACAAATAATTAGAATAACTTTTATGAAAGAAAATATTGTTATAAAAACCCCTGGCAAGATCTACCCCAAATTGCAAAATACATATTATGCTGGGAATCAGCCAACTACAGTTTAAGTTCAATTTTCAGAAACACATATCTGATGACCAGTGGCCTTCACATCATTATCTATCTATCTTGTAAATTAGAATATCCAAATTCTCCCAGCTGAAAGTAATTCTGAAGTTATCACCCTCGCCCACACCTTCAGGAACACTCTTGCACAAAACACTTGCACTCTGCGGCAGTTCCACGCTTAGCCCTTTCAGTTCGCCCAGAGAACCTGGAAGGAGCTCCTGGTGGTCAGTTCTCATTCTTTGTGTGAACGAGTAGTGGTGTCCAAAACCTCTACAGAGTTTCCTGAAGAATCAGTTGGGCTTCTCTTAAAGACCGATTGTCAAGGCAGGGTTGGATAATCTATTGTATAAGACTATCAAGATAGCATGGACTTATGCAGGGGCCACAAATATATGCCATGTAAACCATTATATGCCAATCAGAAGGTTTAGGTAAATAAGAGATATATTTTCATCGTTTTTTCTGATTTTGAGCTTTTATTCTGCTCTGGAAAAAATAAGGACAGTCAACTAGAGATTTGTTCATAGTTTTCTGTAAAAATCAAGAAAGGTATTTAATTTCTAAATGAGTTAATCATTTCACTATTTTTCATATATTTCAACAGATTACTTTTTTTTATTACTTCTTACTGATTTTTTTTTTTTTTTTTTTGAGGAAGGGTCTTGCTATGTAGTGCAGTCTAGCTCTGAACTCATTGTGTATCCCTAAGTGGCCTCAAATCTGTGGTGATCTTCCTGCCTCGGCCTCCCCAGTGCTTGGATGACAGGTGTGCGCCACCATAGTTGGCTCATTAATGATTTTCTAAGTGTAGTAAAATATAAATGAGCAAAATTCGATGATAAAGTTCTGTTACTTTTGTTTTTAAACTCTGTATAGAAATCATCTTTGGTTGCCTTTCCAGCTGCCCCTCTCTTAAATACCATGACTCAAACATCTCATTGGTTTCTTCCCAGTGAACAGCAAATAAATGAACACAGGGCAGGCACTTATCCCTTTAATTTGTTTCTTCCCGGGTGACAGTAAACAAAGTCCATGCTGACCAGCCATTCACTGCTGGTTAGCATCTCTCTCTCTCTCTCTTTCTCTCTCTCTCTCTCTCTCTCTCTCTCTCTCTCTCTCTCTCTCTCTCTCAGGCCAAATAAAGCTGACAGGAAATAGTCATTAGTCATCCTCTGCAAAGTCAGCTTTTCCCAGGCCCTTGGCTTCTGCCCCCCCCCATCCTAAGGAACATTCTGGAAAGCAGCTTTGACCCACTTTGCCAGTGCCTCACTTAGCCCTTCTGGTTCCCTCCATCCATCCTCATGAAATCTGGGCGGACTTCCTATCAGTTGTTCCCCAGTGTTTCTAGAAATTACTTACTCTCTATAGGAACATTTTTACCTGTACTTTAATGCCTTTCATTTTATCTATTTTATCTTAAACCACAGATGCTTAAGAAGGTGTAAACAACTAAGTGAAGAAATTATGTCAGGGAAAATAATCTTCTGAAATCTCAGTCAGGATCCTCCTTCCCTCGTCTCCTCACTCTTTAGGGAGGAGTAGCATAGGTCAGCTCAGGCTCCATTGCCGCAAGCCTATTCCTAGGAGGCTACGTGCACTGCCCTTAAATTTTGTGGCATTTGGGGGTCTCACCCACCTCAGCTGCAGGATTCAACCTCGTTCTCCTACCTTGCCACATTATGGCATGACTAGGGGATTCCTTCCTGTTTTAAAGATGATTTTTGATGTATCTATTATGTAGATACATCCTTATCATATCTATCATATCATATCTATCTACATCATATCTATAATCCAACTATTTTTACTGTTGCACCAGGCATGAAACAGTGCCATGGGCACTGCCTTGACTTTTCCTCTCCTCAGAGTTCTGCGCTCCCTGGAATCCCGGTGAGCGTGCTGCTGCTCTGAGCTTCCTCCCTTATCACTGGGTGGTGGCTTTTGATCAATGTGATGTCAGCTGAATGCCCATTTGCATCCTTTGGATTTGTATTCTAAGAGGATTTGTAAGAATATCATTTGGTTTTACCATAGTCATCTACCCTCATTTTAATACTTTCTGTCTTTGGTGTATGCCTTCAGATGGTTCATGTTTACAGTGGAATCTGAGGTAAAATATGGATTTCTTGTGCTCTTCCATTTCCTCCCATTGCTTTTTATATTAAAGAAAAAGAGTAGTTAAAAAAAAAACGGCCACATAGTTTTTTGTTTTTTGTTTTGTTTTGTTTATTCCTGAGTGTCTTATAACAACACTTAAAGGTAAGAAGTCCTTCAAGGAAAGATTCAAGGATTCAAGAAAAAAATGCATAAGCAAAAGTTTAAGAAAATTTTATTTGAAGATTGAATTTAATAAAAAAACTACGCTAACTGGAATGTTGCATGATCAGTCTTCGTTAGAATTCCTGTTTTCATTAAGTGTAAGTCATTATCGGTCAGAATATTTATATTAATTTGTCTAGCAAGCTGTTTGGGGGCTTTCTACGATGATACTCATAGCTTTGCTTTCTTTAGAAAATCTTACAGAGGTTGAAGATTAGTTTTCTTAACTAATTCTTACTTTTCATTGTGGTTGGTATTAAGAGTAAACATCTTGGAATTCACCATATTGATTTGTCTCTCAGATTGATTAATGGATATGAGATCAGCTTTAATAATAAAAAGTTCTGTTTAAAATCCAGTCTAGTTTTTAAAAAATAAATAAATGACTCTCCAGAAAACTGGAAAATCTGTTATAATATCTGTACTTGTTTGTAAAGCCATAGAATCATACATGCTAGAACCAAAAGACACTCCAGTTTAACACCTTAATTTCATGAATGAGAACTGTGAGCCCAAGAAAATGAATGGCTTTTCAAGGTTATATAGAAAACAAAAATCAAACGCTGGGTCTTGTTAATCCCAAATTTGTTGTTCTTTCTACCACATCGTGTAACCAAAATATGAGTGCTACTAGAATTCCATTTAAACCCATAGAAATGGTCACTTACTGACTATACGCCAATCATTATTGGTAACACACACCCTCCACAGTTATGGACTTTGAAAATTGAAAAAATGTTGGAAACCAATTTCTTGTGCCTACTGTGGATTTGTATGTGTGTGTTACCAGGGACTGAATTAATGACTTGGGCATTAAGCTATACCCCCAACTTTTTCTTTTTTTTTTTTTTTTCACCTTGAAACAAGTTCTCATTAAGTTACTAAGTTGTCCAAGTTGACTTGCCTTAGCCTTCTAGAGTGCTAAGATTACAGGGTTGTGCCACCATGCCTGGCTGTCATGCAAAGATACTTTAAATAAAATTTAACTCCACCACAACTCTTCAAAAATAGCACTCATTAAAATCATTTACTTTATATATGGTATAATTCCTTATTATTGAAATGGAATCATATGACCTATTTATGTCTCCTGTCAAAAGGTCATTTTAAAATGTTATGGTGATACAGATTATAGAGAAGGAAAAAAGAATTCCTATTTCCTAAGATCTTTAACCTTTATTCTTTGAAGAATATGTTTTGCTTCTGAAATTTTTAACAGAAAGAATCATCATGAAATGAACTGAATGATATCAGAATTAATTAAAGTCAACCTTGAGAATGATTTGCTTTGAAGGGTAAATAGAGAAACAAATGTTCCCAGGCAAGCTAATAAGACAGTCCACTAGCTTTTGGTGTCACTGCCCATCAGAAGTGACAATATTTGGGGGGGGGGGGACTAAACCACGGCTCCAGAAGAGGTGCCCCTGAAATCAGATACAAAACAATCTGGCTACAACCACCATCCGTGTACTGACTCCTTTACCAAAGGAGAATTTAGATTATGTTGATTAGAATGATCACATATTGCTGGTATCAGTGTTGTCCCCGTCTCACTAAAGAGATTTCCTTGAGAAATAAGTAGCTTGATTTTATATTCTTCTGGGCAGCACTGTTGAACACGGAGAACAGAAAGAAATAATCTAAATGAGAAAGCTGCTCAGTACTGAGGCAAAATCTGGTTGGAGAGGAAATCTGTTCCCATGATTAGTGAGTTTCCCCAGTTAGCCTGTAGGTGGGTGTGTTTAACAGAAGGAAGCAATGGGAACCCGCCTGTCAGCCAGCCTTTCGAGCTAATTAGCTCAGCCTACAACAAAGATAAGTGAGCCTGGAGGAGGGCCCCCTGAGGGGTCTTTAGATTCTGGGAAATGTCTGATTGGCAGATGTTAAAAGGGATTCTTTGGTAATCCAGTGCATCAATGAGCTGCACAAATTCAGTCCAGGACTGCAAGAATTCAGGCATGAGGACACTCCGTGCAGGAGGCGCACACAGGCAGACCCGAGATGGACAGAACCTTGGAATCTCTGAGACACATTATTGCCCAAGTCTTGCCTCACAGAGACCCGGCTGTGGTCTTCAAAGACTGTAAGTACTGAGGGGAAGTGTTTTTTTGACTTTTTAGAAAATAGTCCTGTCTAGTCACATCCTATTTCAGTATGATTTCTGCTAAATCTCTGCAGGTCCTGTGCTGTGGTCTAAGTGATATTTAACTTGTTCTGAATTTCAGTTAGAAAAATGACTTCATTTCACCTTCAGGCACGAGACGCTAGGTTATTTCTCAGTGATGCATCTTGCTAACTGTTTAGAACTCCCTTCTAAAATCGAAAACCCGCCAAGACTTAATGAACTTTTCCAGATGATTTTTAAAGAAAGCCAGGCTAACTGGAACTGACATCAAAACTAAAAATAACTTGGAAATGATACTAAAATCTATCTCCAAACTGTTTAATCTTACATAATACATATTTATTGTGGCAAATCAAGGATTGTGTTTGTCTGAAAATTTTGTTGCAAATAAAATTTAATAATAAATCACCATTGAGCTCTTAAACTTTAAAAACAAACCATTATAACCTTTGAGTAAAAGACCAATAAAATGAGATGCTTTCAATCCCAGCCACTCTCCCTACCCCCAGACCCCTTTGTTACAGCAAACTTCTTTGAAAATCTTTTTTTTAATGATTATGAAAAAGAATTAAATCAAGCTTTCCAATTTTAGCAGTACTATTAGAACATTTGTCATATAACTTCGTTTCTGGAACCAATTTTATTTCCTGCTGCCGCACTATCTTCACGTTGTATCTTATCTACAGTGGGTTTCATATTACAAAGGCTTCTGGAATCGAACTTTGCTTTGGAACTGCCCAAAAGGTAAAATGCATACGGAATTTTTTTTTTTAAGCTTCAATAGGTTGCAGCTTTCCTCCTTGTGAATCTAGTTATGTGTGTCTCCATCCAAACATCAATGGCTTGGGTTTTTGCTTTCTGATTACTGAGTAGCTTTCCTTTCCAGATGTCCTTTTCCTTTATATTTCGCATATGGAGGATGAAGAAAGAGAAATGCTGGGCCAATTTCTTCTGTAAATTTTTCCTCTTAGAAATTAAATTGTAACCAATCTGCCCTCTAAGGCATAAAATGAAACCCTCTTTCTTTTCTTTTCTCTTCTTTCTTTCTTTCTTTCTTTCTTTCTTTCTTTCTTTCTTTCTTTCTTTCATACTGTCTTCAAGCATTTGTCAATAGCTATGTTAGAACTAATAAAAATCACTCCAGCCTCTAGCCCAGCCTGGAGTCTATTCAGGCTTGGTATGTTTCTTTAAGTGAAAAGGGAAGGAAAGAATGTTTCTCTCCTACAATAGCACCGAATTCCTAGTGAAAGATAAAAGGGCTCCCGGGCTGCCCAAGGCTTTGGGTAAATTGTATAGGACCAGGGGACTTAAGCTAAGGGTTTGAAGAGTAGAAGCAGTAGAAAGAACTAGAGGGAAGACTTTTCTCTGAGCTTTCTTGAAGTTTAAATCTGAAACTGTCTGGCCCACTTTTTCAGCTGCACCAAATTTCAGTAATTGCTTACAATTGCGAAGAGAGAATAGCATTTTTAAAGAGGAAAATAATAAAGTAGCCATGAAGTTCTACCATCCAGACCTTTTCAGGCATTCTTTTATATGGAAAAACCAAAAGGTTGTCCTGCTTTGCATATTTCTCTCATTACCTTAGAACCTACACTTGACCACATAGCCTTGCGGATTTGCCCTGGACTTAACTGGTATGAGTGTTAAACTGCTGTGCCTTTCCCCTCTGGCTTTTCTAGTCTGAAAAATGATAGACTGAAAGTAAATCTAACGACAAATTTCTGTACCAGAAGTTTTCATAACATTGAAACACATCCAGCCACTCGCCATCCTCATGCAATAAGTGGGATTGGGTTTACTAATTTTCCAGGGCAGAACATCAAAAGTCTGGGGGCTAAGCCATGCCTTGGCAACCCGCTGCGCTCCACATGCCAGAGCTTGGCACGTGGACTTCTCGGGCGCACCTCTGGTCGCTGCCACCACACCGGGCTGCAGGAGCTTGAAATGGCAGGTTCTGGGAGCCCCCTCTCCTCCTCCTCACTGGTGGCTCCTCCCCATGACCACTCCCTCCAGGCTCTTTCTGCCAAAAGGGCTGAGTTCTTGTGCACATTGCTGCCAATTACTTAAGAAAAATTGGTACCTTGCTTTCCTGCAGCATGCAAAGCTGATCTAAGAGTTTTTAAAAATTCAGCCTAATTGAACAAAGAAGGGAGTGGAGGAAGAAGAAGAAGAAAAAGAGGAGGAGGTGGGGGAGGAAAAAGAGGAGGGAAGGGGGAGGAGGGTGTTCAGACTCTACCTAAATGTTTCATCTGTGGATGCAAAGGCAGTGTTTACTCTCCTTACTTTTTGGACACATGTAATACAGAGACGATAAATGGTCATTTGATTCACTTGTTGCCCAGCTGGCTTCTAATTTGCTTAAACAATAGTAACTGAATTTTCTCTTTTAATTGGTCAGAAAAGTCCCTAGAGAGTTTTCTCCTCTGAGATAGATGGATATAGAAATGTTATGTTTATTTAAAGAAATAAATTTAAAATGCCTTTGGCAGCTGGAGAAGCCCTTCCCGTGGCCCTTTACATTACTGCAATGTTAAATCTATCATTTTATTCTAGACAAGGTATTCACTTGACATTAGTTGTGAGTTGTTTTTAAACTTTTCTTTCCTGAGTGGAAATGAATTCCATAACTTTTTTTTTCTTCACTCCTTTATTGCGTATTTCAAATGAAGAGTAATGCAAAGAAGCTTTAAGGAAGGTGGGCTTCAATTGAGTTTGCTTATCTAGCTGACACTGGACTCTTCTCCACTTCATAAAGGTCCGCACTGTGTAACAAGTAGCACTGGATAATTCCACGGTATCAGACAGAAACTCTACGCAGATAAGCTGTAGCACATCTCTGTGCTGCCTGCTAATCTTTGTGCAATATTCAGTTTTTTTCGTTCAGTTTTCATCCATCACCATCAAAGATGGACTGTCACTAAAGCACCCTGTTCCATTCTTTTGAAGTGCTTCGAGAACCTGCTGCCTGGGTGCCATGGAGTGACAGTGTCACACATGCCTTCTCAAAAGAAAACATGGTTTCATAATGGCTGGGCTTTCACATCCTGTGTACACGTTAGCTTTCAAAGTACCAGAGTATCACAAGCTTACCTGCCATCTTTAGACTCTTCCTCTATCTCACACTAATACTAGGATGTCAAGGCCTTAGCATGTGGCAGCGCTGTGCTAACACATGCACAGCAAGCCTGTAAAGTAGGTGTTGCTGTTATTTATAGGCAAGGGGGCGGAAGCACGGGAGGCTAAGGCGATTTGCCAACTTGCACAGCTAGTAAATGATGAAGGCAGGATGCGAATTCTGTCTTCCAAGTCCCCTCTAGACACTGCCTTTGGGAATCTAAAGGGAGCCTGTTATGTAGTCACATCCAAGCAGAAAAGTGATGGGAAGCAGAGAGGAAAAGGAGGTTTTTGAGGACAGGGAATAACTTATCTAAAGGCAAGCCAGTAAGTGTGCACCCCAGAAGTCAGAGCCAGGCGGAGGAGGGAGGTCGGGCTTTACTAACATTCAGGCAATCAGCAATCACTGAAGCTAACTAATCATGGTCCTAGATTGGTTCTAGTACTTGTGTCCTTATAGGGTATGAGGAAAAGTTTATACAGGCGCCTTTTGGAGGTACACTTGCTGATACCTAGGTTAGGAAAAACTGCAACTTTTTTCAGCAAGAAACAATTTGCCAACTGAGAAAAGATGTGAGATTTGTGAATGTCAAATTTGCCTATGGGAAAAAAACACTTTCACTAACTGGAGACCGAAATCAAGACACACTTTTTAAAAGAGATTGTTTAAAAGTTCTTTTTTTTTAATTTAGAGGGAAAAAAAGCAAAACAGAAAAAAGGGTAGAAATAATATAGAATTTCCAAAAAAACAGTCAGAAATCACTGGTTGATAAATTACATATTGTTATCTTAGAAGTAGTTGCTCGGGTCACAAAATCAAAGCATGAAAAGTGGACAAACAATGACAGGACAAACCATTCTGTTTGATGAACTAACGAAAACTTAGTTGTATGTTTATCTATCTTAACTGTCATTGCAGCCACAAAAATTAGTTGGTTTCCAACACTGATTTTAAAACTGCCATGTTAGCTTACACTAATGTTTTCCCCAAATTTTATAATCAAAGGTTAGATGAAGCCTTTATTAATGTTGCTCAAATGGAAGCAAATTTCTCACATATCTGAAGTACATTAATCCTTTTATTTAAAGAAACATTATGTTGCATGAAAAATGTTATTTATATCAGATAAGTGAATGCTTTACTTCAAAGAGTACATTTTTACCCTTTGGAAAAATTGGACCAAATAACAGGACTATTAAAAACATCTTAGTAATCATGAATCTGGCTATACGCTGCATGAGAGAGCAATCCTCCAGTCAAGTATGTTTTTCATCCATGGTTTTTACTGTAGTTACTTGAAATCTATAAATTTGATGTTACATTTATAGCTTTCACATTTCACAAAGGAATGGGGTGGGATGAAAGGGATGAAGATCCTGATGCAGTACAACCCCTACATTGCATCTCACCATATAAACTGTGCCCGAAAGACTACAGTCCAGAAACAAAAAGAAAATTCCAATTTGCTCCCTCATCTTCAGTACAATAGCTTAAGCCCTCTAACTTTAAACTGGGGATGTCTGTTTTATGCAATCCTATTCAAATGCCAACATTAACTGATTTAATACAAGACACGACCATTCTTAATTGAATGTATAGTAAGAGAAAAATGTAGATATCAGTTCAACAACTATCAGGGCCAAAAGGTCTGTTTTTCCTGTTTTACCAGTAAATATTCAGTTGACAGAGTTTAAACACTGAGAGTCTCAGCCCCAGAGGAAAATTTTTCAAAGTGGAAAAAATATATACATGTGGACCCTTCATCACTTAAGGACAAAATCTGTCCTAATATATTTGCTTCTCATATACAAATAAAATTTAGTGGGCCAAAATAAAATACAAT